TAAAAGACCGTGGGAGACCAATGAGGTTATGCGCTTAGTTGGTTGACATTTTTGTCTTATTTGGTGAGTTGAATGTGCGACCCCATAAAATAATCATTTCCAATTTTATGATCGTTACGATGTTAGTAATGATGATAATGGTAATGATAATGGTGATTGTCATACCCAACTTCAAGGCTTCTTTGTGAATTAGAGGGTATTACTCATGCGTAACTTTTGAGGAACGACAAAAATATCCAATGTTAATAGCTAAGTATCCAGACCGAAATAGACCATATTTGCACCGACTGGATACACTGTTCTGATTGAAAATATTGGCTCCTTTTTAATGTTGCGTTGCATTTAGATCTGAATGGGAACGATCGTTGAATGCGTACCGTGTGGAGGCCTCCTGGAGGCTGGGACAATGGGACTCATTGGAGAGTTATCTGAAACTGGTATGACTAGTAACACGACCTTGCTTTCTTCCTAGGAATTCATGCTCGTCTATATAGTAGGTAATAGTCCATTCAACCTTAGGGGACACTCTCATTGGCGGATAGCTAAAGCAACAAGGTTTCACCAAGACGACATAAGAAAGGACCTTTTTTGGGGATTATCCTGCTTATTCACCATTTTCACATAGACTATAAAGCACCTTCAATGGAGGACAAAAATCCTTTGAACGGTCATTGCAAACCTTCCTTCCACATCTGTAACTTATCAAATATTCAGGTGTAGCATAATATGCACTTCTCTAACCGCTTGGAAACCGCGAATTGCTCTCCCATCCCCCCTCCAAACAATGTTGAGATGAACAAACACTTTTAGGACAGGGTAAAGTGTACAGGGGTGCACAAACCACAACACTGCTTGGGGACGAGGGGGAAAGAGGGAAAATTGAGGCGGATCGTGTTATATCAAATGTTAATAGTTACCAATGTTCCTGTAAACAGTGCTACCCTATAGCAGTTTATGCAATGTGTTACTCTCTTATTAATCCTTGTGGATACTGGACTTAAGGAACTTTATTTGCCCTTGTTAGTAACAGGAATACACTGTACAAAGTGATGGGTGTCAAAACACATCTGTCAGTATCAGTGGAGCTGAGATAAATCTTACTCTCCGGGCTGTAACCACTTATGTCCTATGTTGCAATTTGGCTCCAAGCATGTCTGCATTGAAGATGTGCATATTTTCAAACATTGTCGTTAAATGACATTATTTTTGTTGTGGATTGGGACATACTGTACAAGCTGTGTGGTTCAGGAAACAAGTGGAGTGAAGGATTTGTCTTCTCTGGTAAGATATGATGACAGTTCTTTAGCTGCAATAAGGCATGTTCAAAGTACCATACCCGTAGTACGACCACGCCCAAATATACGCTCACACAGCGTCTTGTTGCAGTGAGGAGAGAGTTCCTGCTCGGAAAGCACTAGATAACATCAGATGAGTCATCGATATGTCAGCGCCGTCTTACAAAATGACTGAAAAGATACCTCGACTTCCGCTCACTTTATCGATCGGAGCGGAGAAGCAAAATTTCAGTAAGTCTGAGTCATAAAACGGTTAACATTGTCGTTTCCAGTTTATATTACTTTAAAAAAAATGTTAAGTCTGTAATAGACTCAGCTGTATTGCATTGAACGATGCGGCTTATCAGGCTTATGGTCTTTCCGAGGAACGTTGGTTACGGTGGTCCATGTTATTTAGTGTCAACACGTCACGAAATCCTATCTAACATCGACCGAAACCTAACCGGAACTCGGCTGCGTCTACGAAAAAAACGAAATAAAATGAATTCCGCGGGAGTGCGCATCCCATCCCAGTTTTATTGCTGTCGTTTGAGACACAAACAGTAGTTTTCCAGCTTTTCGACTTTTACTTAAGAAAGTTTAAGAAGTTGATGATAAAAAAGTTCTACTTCCATACATTGAACCTGACAATGGGTAGTTGTTGTGGAATCATCATTGGTCACGCACGGATCCACACCGGTTTCCACAGTTAAACCGAAATCGGTCGGATTTTTCATAATAAATATATTTTGATGAAATAATCCGCCGATTTGCAAGGCTTCATCTTAGGAGAATGGAACCGGCCAATATCCAGGACCCCAGGAAAGGGGACCTTAGGGCCGGAGTTGAAATCCACAAAAATTCTCGGGAGAGCAAGAATTTCCGCAGTATTATTTTACCGACAATTTTAGATGCATTTTACGGTTTTAAGAAGGTTTGGTTTTTCATTGCTCTCCCCCACACAGTTTCCAATCAGAAAAATATAGATTAACTTGGGATTGAAAGTGTGAACAATTCAGCTTAAATCATTAGCCCAGAGAGGGTATCCCGGCTCCCGGAGGCTCCAGATTTCAAGTGACAGGGATGATCGAATGGGGGCAAAAATCAAAACCCAAAAAAATGCCTTGGGCTTCAAACAAAACCCAAAAGAATCCCTGGACTAAAATTTATCCCCCAAAAAATTCCATGCCGAATTTCCGAGCCATAATAAATATTTCCAGAAAGCATGAAATGATATAACACGAAAAATAGAAACATTGGCTTTGAATAACCCAAAAAATCCAGAAATCGAAAATTTCAAACCCCGAAAAATCCTTCGATCATCCCGGTCACTTGAAATCCGGAGTACACCATCTGGGAGCTCAAACGACAAAAAGTTCTAAAACCTATTAGTTACTGTGAACTTGAAGAATAAAGATTGTCGACAAACGTGGTCTTTTATACTGTAAACGTGTGGAAAATACAAATTAACCGGAGGACACTTGAACAAAGCGCTTACCACCGCTGGAAAATCCTCCTGTCTGTTTATCAAATCAAATATCATAAAACGGCTAAACGGGTAGTAGTAGCAATTTCATACGCGTTTTTTTTAAAAAAACCTCCTATGCTTATATATCCTGAATATGGATCGTATGCGACTTAAGATAGAGATAACCACGGTGTATCGCTTGATTCTGCTCCCGCCGTTGTCCTTCACAGAGAATTCTCAGTTGAAAACTTTTAGATTTGGCGCCAACTTTGGCATGTGATTGTGGAAGTAGAACTTTTTTTAATTATGGACTTCTTAAACTTTCTTTAGTGAAAGTCGAAAAGCTGGAAAACTACTCAAATGACAGCAATATAAATGGGATGGGATTCTCACTCTCGCGGGATTTATTTTATTTCGGTTTTTTCGTAGCCGCAACCGATTAGGTTTCGGTCGATCTTAGATAGGATTTCGTGCTTTGTTGACACTAAATAACATCGACGGAAACCAACGTTCCTCTGAGAGACCATAAGCCACGTCGTTCAATGCAATACAGCGGTGTCTAGTACAGATTTAACATTTTTTAAGTAATATAAACAGGAAACGACAATGTTAACCGTATTATAACTCAAACTAACTCAAATTTTACGTCTTCGCTTCGACGATCAAGTGAGCGGAAGTCGAGGTATCATTTGGGTCATTTAGTAGGACGCCGCTGACATATCAATGACTCATCTGGTTTAGGTCGATATTATCTAGTGCTTGCAGAGAGACCTTGTGCCTCGCTTTCATGTCATAAAAACACATATATAATCTCCCGGATGGCAGGAACGCCCCCTCCCCAGTAGCTGGAGAAATGACACATGAATCAGTCACATTAAGCCTAAAACCATTTCTTTCAGAAATAAATTTCCTGTATTTCTGCTTGGCTGAATTCCAGGTGCCAAGCAAGAGCATCCCACCATGTCCCAAGCTGCAAAGCTAACCCTTCCAAACTCATCGTCAGCAACCACGCCATATTTATTTCTTTAAAAGGAAGATAATAAACAACAACCAATACAAACATTTATCATTTTTCTTTGGAAAGTGCGTATTTTCCGTTTCCTCTATGCGCAGCTCGAATCGTTCATAAACGACCCTGTCACTTAAGTATAATTAACTTAAAGTAAACGAATCACAGGCTGCATAAACGAAGCCCTTTCAAGTCAGGATATAAGTTATAACCCTAACCCTATTAAACAATACTAAAGTATGTCTACCTTGCATATAACGATTGCGCTAACATTTTCAATTCTTCCCAGAAGGCTGTACGTACTAACCCCTTACTTTCAAAATGAGTTGTTAGGGAATAAGACAAGGCATGAATCAATTTATGGATTTAAAGATAAATTTCTATATGTGTTATGAGGATACCTTCTGTCTTCACCAGTTCTCTTATTCTTATGGAGCTTCTTCTACGAAGGAAAGAACGAAGAGTAATAATGATTGTTTTTGAGGTCCCAGTGTTCAATTTTATGCCAACGAGTTCTTAAGAGAGCTAATTGATAGGTGCTTTATTATCGGCTTTTTAAAATCTGTTTCAATAATGACTTCGCATAATCTTAGAAAAATTGATTATCTTCTTTTACCAAAGAAAGGACAAGGATTCTATGTGTTATAGCGGTACTTCCCCCCACAACATTCCACTCTCTATGAACATTCAACGACCCAGTTTCCATTGATACCGGCCGATGTTTGAAGTCAAAGAAATTTATGCGCATCCTAATGAAAAAATCGTAACCAAGCCTACAAGAGGAGCTTCTGTTAAATTTTTACCATTGCAATCGTAATATATTAATACCTAAATAACAAAAATAATAACTTATGCCCACGACCTAAGAAAAATTTTCAACTGGCCTCTCGCCCAAATGAGTCGAGCATATCAATATTTATTTTGCTGAAGTCATGATTTTTCTGGAATGTGATTATCTTGTGGTTTAACAAATTCCATTAAATAGCTTAGTATAAATCTGCTCGTAACTCATCATCATAGGAAGGTCCGAAAAGGATCTTTGAAGATCTTTGACGATAATCAAATATCTTCGAGGATCTTGAGAGGAAGTTGAGCATCTTTGCAAGGATCTCCGACGATTCTTAAGATTTGGCAGAAAATTTTTGGGGATCCCCGTTAAGATCATTAGAAGCAGACTAATTAGCCTATTGAGAAGGGTGTTTCAAGGGGAAAAAAGTAAACGTCCCTCAGCCAATATACAATACTCACCTGTACTTTGATAGTGAGGCCAGTCTTTGAAAGCAATAGGATTACTAAGAAGATGAGCAGTTAAAGAAGCTGCCATTAAACTCGCGAACTTTTTCCAAGGATTTGGCTCAAACAATCCTCCATCTGCGTAGTTCGAGACGCCTTTAATTATAGTCCACGGAATATCCAGCTCTTGGGCCGCTGTATAAACACCTAAAAATAATTGTAAGGACAAGTGTGCTTTCTAGCAAAAATCTAGACTTATGAGAAGCGCAAGGAAAACGCAGATATGTTGTTAAATCGCTACCAGCATCTGTGGGTACATTTAGGACAAGTCCTGGTTAAAGGTCAAGGAAAGTCAGGATGAACACGACTTAGGCCCAGGCCAAACGTCGAACTTTCATGAGACGAACCAAACTCTAATTTGGGTGGAACTTAATGAAGCTAAGATCGCCTGTTGGCTCAGACGTCGAACTTAGGACGCGTCGACGTTCTATCCGTCTGAATCAGACGGATAGAACGTGTTGGACGATCCAAACTCATTCAGACGAACTTAACTGAGCCCGACGTTCAACTTTTCATGAACTTAAGTCACTAACCCATGAAAATTTCTCATGAAAAGTTGGACGTTTGGCCTAGGGCTTAAATTTAGACTTAAATTCAGATCTTAGCCACCAAGAACTGTAAACTAACAAGTTAGCTGAGGGCATGATATAATTACAGCAATTGCAATCTTCGAATGACTCGATTGTTCGCATGAAGCATGTAAATTTGGGTTTGCACCCCTTCGTGAAAATAACATGGGCTGCACGTGGTTGACCCGTTGCGATTGTTAAGGTTACTCCATTCTATGCATGGTTTTTTGCATTACAATACTGGCCTATGAGAGCACCAAGTTGGCGTTTACCTCCAGTCTTACGGTTATTTTCTATTAATACACCCTATCACACTTTGTGCTTATTACAATTTTTCAAATCCTGGCACTTAACAGTCAGCCGCTCTTTTAAACCACTGACCATATAGTACCTAAGGGTTTGTACTAGATCAATAACGGTACAATTCGTCCACCTCCTGCTGTGTCATCAACTAACCACATTTGTTTAAAGTGGGACTGTATACATTCTGAAGATCTGAATCACAATCAGTTTGTTGACTAAGTACCAAGGAGTAGCTGACCAGTCATCTTATGTTGTATGCTCTTGCGCCTGGTTCTCCTCCCCCCCCCCCCCCCCCCCCCCCCCCCCCCCCCCCCCCGCCCCCCAACCCGCGGCCCACCCCCACTCACCCAAACAACACGACCCAACCAACACAAAACACACACCCCGCCACATGCGAGAGGAGAACAAAAAGTTACGCTCCCACTCGAGAAACCTCTCTAAATCTGGGCAGCACACCTCCCTTCACCTCTCTACTCATTTCCCCCCCCCCCCCCCCCCGTCCATCCGCCCCCTCCGCAGATGAATAGTTCAGGACCCAATTGTTCAAACGCTGAATAGCGCTATCCAACGGATAAATCACTATCCAGCGGATAGGTATTAGGGAAACCAATTGCGTTGTCCACTGGATACAGACTTCTTCAAAGGATGGCACTACCCACCTTTTGAAACCTTTACAAACTCGATTGATTAAGGATGCATGTATGCATTTAATTCTAAGAATAGATTTTGGTCAATCCAAACAACACGAACGAGAACCTCTTAAGGCGTGGGGCAGGCAGTCAGAAGCAGACTACCGAGATTTACAGTCACCGTTATTCTAATTTGATGTCAACTATTATATGCACTCATACAGATGCACCCCCTGATATACATGCAAACTTAAAACCTCAGTCTAATGAATTTGGGAAGACAACCATTTTCACACCCTGCAAATTGAGACTTCAAACATTATTACTTTTAGAAGAGAACATATCACTGAGGTAGCTAGAATTTGTTTAACTTACCTTCGCCCTCCATTTCAATAACATAGGCTTCTGAGAAGCGTTGGTTGAGTGCCTCACGCCGCGCACTGCTATCAACACTTTCTGGGCCACTCAGAAACACTCCTTGGTGGATCTCGACTTCAAATTCTTTTGGATTCTTCAATGGGGCTTTCCAACCATGTGCAGCATTTAACATCAGTTTTGAAATATTGGTTTTCAATGGAACTCTTACACCACGTTCTGTAGCGCCTTTGTCCGTGACTTTGGAGGAGGAATATGATATCAGCTTCACTGACACTACCACGTCCCCAAGTTTTACTTTTGCACGGTCTAAGCCACCACAGCAACCCACACTGAATATCGCTTTAGGCCCCAAGACTTCGACTGCTTTCATTACGACAACACAAGATCCTTGTGGAACGTTGGATCCTGTGTAACACTTCACCACAGCGATCTTTATCATCATGTCATCGTTCCCAATTTCGCCTAGGTACACGTCTTGACAAAGCTCTTTGCAGTAACTTCTACAGAAGTCGCGATTGAAACACGAAATACAAGCTAGAAATTCCCAATCCTTCACCGTCAAAAGCAAAATGTCGATTGGCAATTGACGCTTATTCAGTGGTACTGATTTTCCCGGAAGATCCTCATTCCGTAGAAGAGTTACAGTTACCTCTGGCGGACTACTCGTAGTTTTCAGTGATTCAGTGACTATGGAGAAAAACAATATAATGAAAAAAGAAAATGACAATTAAGCTCCGTATTTTGTTTCCTGTCTCCAGCTTAAGGTAGCTGAACACAGTTTCTCTGACAGAATTGCGCGCTAAGAAATTTCACTGACGCAATTGTTTCCGTACGCACAATAGACTGCCGTGATCTGAAGAAAAATAAAAAGCTAAATGAAAAGGTTTCGCCCCTAGAAATGCTTTATCTCTCTACTCTTAACATCTTTATTATAAGAAGATATGCAGCCAATGGAATTTTCTAGAAAAAAATCTGAGGAACAGTGGAGAAAAATGGCCAGAGGATGACTGTTTATTCTGTTTCCGTCTGTCACTTTTGCCATATCACATGACCCAGCGCGCGCACAAGTGTTGAGGATGCATACTTACCGAAAAATGTGAGAGCCCTTATTTTGTTGACTTTCATAGACAACGTAAAGAAACGGAGATATCTCGAAATTAGAATATAACAAATTTGACGAAATTTGGCAAAATTCTTGTCAATATCGCACTTAAAAGGGTAACGTGTCGGAAGCATTTTGTGGAAATGACCGAAATTGAAATTGCTGAAAACAATGGCGAATTGGTGCTATTGGATGCGGGTAAAACCATCGTGAATCTCGTGTTTAGAAAAGTTTAAATAGAAGGACTATCAACAACCAACACCTCATTTGTTACAAACATGCAACGTGTCGTGAGTGATAAGAGGCCTGAATATCCTGACAATGAAAACCACACCTTTAAAGTACAACTACCTGCCCCCTTAAATCTCTCAGGGCATGGTAGGGAAGTGGCGCTCTATTCGCTCAGTATGCCTGCGACTAGTCATAGACATAATGCTCTATTGAGCACAAGTAAAAAACCCATACACGTTGATTTTTGTATCCACGAAGTAGGGAGCAGTTCATTTAGGATGTCAAGGGTTTATGACACCTCAGAGTTTATTGGAGGTCGACAGCGGTCTGGACATGATGAAAAATTTAAAACAGCATTTCGATAGCAGTGTGCAAACAGCTATTCAAACACAGCTCGCTCAATATTATGGAAGAGATGCCCAACTTGTCACCACTCGTTAGGAAGACCATGATTTTGTGGTGGGGAGAAAAGCCCTCCAGGATTTCAAGAATTGTCCTATCCGATTTTATATTGCCATTGATATGGCACTGAACATGAAATGGGTTGTGAAAGTGGGGGATAAATATTACCCCAACCCGACCGATTTAAACTTTTGCTTACCCTACGAGAATAGTACCAAACGTTATAATGCTATTACCGGGACAGAATATTATAGCAATAACAAAGATCTGATTCAAGTCAGTTTCCATGAAAAGCTTCAATTTTCCTTGATGGCGGATTGGGTGTTTTCTAATTTGGATCCCTGTTTTAAGGAAGCAGTGACTCGTCCCTGTATTCTGACTTGGTTCAGAGCCAAATTGTGGGAGAAAAAAAAAAAACAGATCTTTTAGCAGAAGCCCATTGTAATAGACAGCAACAAGATACCATTTATTATGAACCCAAACACATTCAATGAGTTCCTTGCCGATTCCAACACTCTATCGAAACGACTGAACACAATTATGACAAAATGATGGTTCTTTGGTAGAGTTGGATCAAGGAAAAACATTCATGACGGTCTTGTTCAGACAGGTATAAATGTTCGCGTTCATCACAAGATTCCAAACATTCCACAACATGAGTTCATACGCTATCAATCACCGATGACTGGTGGAAGTATAACGCCTTACCACACCCCGGCCATACAGAGAAGAGGATTGAAAGAAGATGTGATTTCTGAAGTCGGGCCTATCACTAAAGAATCCAGTCAAAAAGTCTTGTCCAAGGAACAAGACAGAGAATCTTTGTCAGAGGTAGGGAAACATTTCGCTCAGGATATAAAACGAGGGGTCAAACGTAAAACACCCGCTATTGTTGGTTTTCACATGACGTCACTAAACTTCAAACTACAAAACTATCGATCCTACTGAGATTTTACTTTCGTGATGTATTAGAGCAGCTGAAAACTAAATTTCATACAAATTTTCGCTTCGAAAGGGTTCTTGGTTTTGTCATAGAGTACGCGTTTTGTCAACGGACGTTGTAGCTTACCTTGTAAAGACGTCGATTCATCATGCGACTCTGGGCGTGAGCTGGAAAGATTTAAACTCTGCAAAGAAAAAATGCCACCTTTTTTTTAATGCTAGTTCGATATACCTAAAAGTATAGGTCCATCGTGTAGGTGTCTGTTCACTCTTCACGCCGTGAGTCACGCGTGTGGTCATTTGCGTGTCTCGCGCGTCTCGCTCGATGGACCTAGAAAAAAAGAGAGACTGCTCGAAGTCTTAATGGGTGCCTATAGAATTTTTTTAAGGCTCTACATTTTGAATTGTTTACGATGTCGTTAACTGTTATTAGAGAGCTTTAGCAACGACGACGGGGACGGCAACGACAACGACGACGCCACAATTAATAAACTAGAAATACGTGTATCGCAGAACCTGGCGAAGCTCGGGGAGGTAGGCCCATAAAATGTCGGGGATGGAAGGGGGAGAGAATTGGAGTAAATTGGGTAGCTTGGGAGGGCGAGTTTCCACACTGGGTTTCAAATTGGAAGGTGAGATGTAGTTAATCGCCTTTTGGTTGAGTAAATTTTAACCCAGTGCTCTGGTAATTGGAGAAAAAAATATTCATTGTTAAGTGAATTACAGCAGGAGAGTGTTTGCACTTGTAGTACATAATCACACTTGACAACTAATTGTTTGGAACAGTGAGGTGTAAACATAATCACCTGCAGTAAAATAGAAATTACAAGTAGCAATGTGATATTTTTCCTATTTGACCCCCTTTTTTTCCTTTTCCCCCCACTGTGGAGCCTGGTCCCAGGCTATGTCATTAAGGATGTAGCTGAGGAGAACTATGAAAGTGATCATGACTCATGATTACTGAATATGAGGTGCCCTCATTAGCACTGAATCATCACTGTACAAAGTACCTAATCATTTATAAAAGTGTTTATAGTTATTTGTGTACATGCACGAGAAGTAAATACTCATGCAAGAGTGAATTTGTATGAAATGTCCACATACAAGTAATGTTGAAGGTGATCAGTATTTCAATTTTCATCATGCATGAGCTTGTTGAGACATGGTTGCCAGAGGCATAGTTTTTTAAATTCCCAGACTGGCAGGCAAATGTAGGCTTTAATTCCCTGACCAAGTGAATTGACAATTTGTACAGATATTAATGCATTTCAAATTCCAGTCAAAACTTCGTGTACTGGACACAGATGATGTAAAGCAAAAGACTTCTTTGTTTTCTGTTCAGGGAAAATCTGGTTTGTACGTTTTCATGGTTTTTTGGTTTTTTGTTTTATATGTCATTAAATGCCCACACTCCCATCACAGTCATCCTGTCCACCTATTTAATACATGAATTTCTCGTGAATGTATTAAGTGCAGAATGGATGGATCTCAGAGGAAACCCTATATCTGCTTGTCGTTTGATTTCTTGATACTTAACAATTATTCTTTGAAATCAAGGTGAATAGTGGCCAAATATTTACCGAGCGGCGAAAGCGGTGAGGTAAATATTCCAAAAGCCACTATTCACCAAGATTGAAAAGAATAATTGTTTTAGTATACACACACGAAGTGATCTCTACAAAATCAGAGAGGAAACCATTCAAAAGTACGATTTGATTGACAGATCAAATCACGCGTAAGTTTTAAAATAGATCTTTGCAGAATTTTCAAACATGGCAATTCACAAGTTTATCATTTCGCAAACAACAGCATAATGGCTTAAATGGAGCCGCTAAAAGTTTGAATTGTTTCCAATGGACTCTTCTTTTCATCTCGAAACAACAAAAGACAACTGAGCGGTTCAAATATCGGTTTTCCCAAACAACACAGCAAGAAGCGTACTTCACGACTGTTTTTACCGCCGAGCCAACGAGCTCGTAAGACATCGTCTTCCTGTATCATTCTTTTTCCTGTTTACTTGAAACGTAGAATTTCTGCAAACATTTCTTTTTAAATTTGTTTGTGATAAATAAACTTCGATTTTCAGCCAAAATTTCCTGTTAGAAAACGCTGAGTTCACGAAACGGCTTCTTCTACGCGAATGCACTTTGTTTGTAAACAATCCATCGTGCACAAAACTCAGCTACAGTAAATTGAAAAACGCCGTATTGAATCCTTCCAAGTCTTTTCTTGCCTTAAAAAAAGTCAGCCCTAGGATTTTGTCGACTTTTAAAAGATCATTCTCTAAAAAAATGGGAAAAACACCGAGCTCACACACTATCCACTCGCTAGGAGGTGAATATTGTTGAATAGTCCGAGATAGCGAACCAATCAGATTGCTTAAATCACCAAGATCACTGAGTGTGTATATACTAATATATAATATTCTGCCAACTTCGGTGAGTATGCAGGAATATGTCACCTCCCTCTGGCTTCCTTGAAAGAGTTACATTTAATTTCCCTGACTTATACGGAAACTCCCTGACTTGACGCACGGGGAATGATTAATTTTCCTGGCATGGTAACACATGTCACACACTAATATTGTGAGGAGATCCGAAATCCAGATGTTATTTTCGAATATTAAATAGGATCGAAAATAGGAGGCCAGCAATAATAAATGTTTGTTATGCTTGACTTAAAAGACACAGCTGTGTTTACGTATGAGGCTGCAATACAATGATGATATATTTTACTTGGGATGGTTTTGGGGAATTAAATGTAATGAAAATTATAAATGAAAATGGTGTTCAGCAAGGATTTTGTTTACAAATGTAGCGCTTCCCTAAACATGACACACATTATCGGTGTTTTAAACTGTTCATTGTAAAATAAATCTTACTGTAAAACCCATTGTTGCTCATGGTGTAAAGGCTGATCGGCTGTCCCTAGTCCGTTGGAAAGATATTCTTGACGTGCATCATTCTTGTTGCCTATCGCTGCATCAAAGAAGATAATATTTTGACTGT